CCTCTATCTACATTTGATAGAGTGATAGTGCTTCTATCTACATTTGATATAGTGATAATACCTCCATCTACATTTGATATAGTGATAATGCCTCTATCTACATTTGATACAATGATAATACCTCTATCTACATTTGACATAGTGATAATACCTTTATCTACTTTTGATACAGTGATAATACTTCTATCTATATTTGATACAGTGATAATGCCTCCATCTACATTTGACATAGTGATAATGCCTCTATCTACATTTGATATAGTGATAATACCTCTATTTACATTTGATATAGTGATAATGCATCTATCTACATTTGACATAGTGATAGTGCATCTATCTACATTTGACGTAGTGATAATACCTCTATCTACATTTTATATAGTGATAATACCTCTATCTACATTTGATATAGTGATAATACCTCTATCTACATTTGATAGAGTGATAGTGCTTCTATCTACATTTGATATAGTGATAATACCTCCATCTACATTTGATATAGTGATAATGCCTCTATCTACATTTGATACAGTGATAATACCTCTATCTACATTTGCTAGAGTGATAGTGCCTCTATCTGCATTTGATATAGTGATAATACCTCTATCTACATTTGATACAGTGATAATGCCTCTGTCTACATTTGATACAGTGATAATGCCTCTATCTACATTTGATAGAGTGATAGTGCCTCTATCTACATTTGATATAGTGATAATACCTCTATCTACATTTGATATAGTGATAATGCCTCTATCCACATTTGATACAGTGATAATACCTCTATCTACATTTGACATAGTGATAATACCTCTATCTACATTTGATACAGTGACAATACCTCTATCTACATTTGATATAGTGATAATACCTCTATCTAGCTTTGATACAGTGATAATGCCTCTATCTACATTTGACATAGTGATAATGCCTCTATCTACATTTGATATAGTGATAATACCTCTATTTACATTTGATATACTGATAATGCATCTATCTACATTTGACGTAGTGATAGTGCATCTATCTACATTTGATACAGTGATAATACCCCTATCTACATTTGATATAGTGATAATGCATCTATCTACATTTGACGTAGTGATAATACCTCTATCTACATTTGATATAGTGATAATACCTCTATCTACATTTGATATAGTGATAATACCTCTATCTACATTTGATATAGTGATAATACCTCTATCTACATTTGATACAATGATAATACCTCTATCAAGACATTTGATACAGTGGTAGTCACAGTAGTCAATAATCGACTCGTGTGTTTATTAATGTAAAGGCCACATGTGTTTATGATTTTAGATATATTCGGTCTCGTGCGTTTACACGATGTTGGTCACATGGCGTTAAAATCATAAACACACTCTCTCTTGCGATTACTCATAATGACAGGAATGTTGTAAAGTATATGATGTGACGTAATGTTTCAATATGGTAATGTAATACACATGATAACTTTCAAACGGCACCTATACCCGGTATTTTACATTCCCAGTATATTTAATTATTATTGTCGAGCAAACATTGAGGTGTTTTTGCTGACCAATTTTGCGAACACATCCCCTAAAAACTATAATAAAACGGTTCTAGAAGGTTCATTTTACCATTTACTATATAATAGTAGTGACAATGGACTGTATTGTTAATTGCGTTATTAAAACTAACATTGTCTTCGTAAATATTAACTCGCTTGCAGATGGTATGTTTTTCAAACACGTCTATATAGGGGACACACTCTGTGCCTTGCTAGGTGTGTGACATGTTTTACGAAAAAGTCTGAATAGAAAACACACTCTATGGAATACAATAGTATTGGTGAATATTCAGTGTGGTAACATGGTTAGTGTTGACACCATTCTGGGGTTTTAATGAAGTTATGCTGAGGCGAAGACGACCAGTGTATCGATGTTGATATATCACTGAATACAATTCAAGTACATTAACTACCGCGACCGAGCTATTACGTGGGTAGCACGTTCGTTGTTTGTTTGTTTTTTGTTGTTTTTTGAAAATCCAGGTAGACGAGATTAATGGCTGAAATGTTAGCGACGTGTCACCTAAATGGCGGTGGTAGTGGTGACAACAATAGGAAGACGAAAAAAGAAAGGAAATCTAAAATCTTCAAATTATTCAGAAGCAAGAAAAAATATGAACAATTTGACTCGAAAATGAAAAACGCGACGCACTCCAAGACCGCGGATTATAATCAACAAGACAAAAACTCGACGTCGAATAATTGGGAGAAACTTAGTGAACTCGAAGAACACAAAAAAGGGCAAAGTCCGATAACGAGGGAAATCAAAGATATGACCAAGAGTTGTAAAAAGAAACACTTCAAAGATCAAGATAACGACTGCGTCAATAGTGGTACGCAAACGGCGACGTTTGTTGAAATTACAGCAGAGAAAGTCGGGGGTGAACTCGTAAACATTGGTCAAGGTCACGCCGTTATTGACAGAGACACCATACACATAGTGTCTGATGAGCACATTGGGAAAAAAGGCGATAGCCAGGTCAAAGGTGACCATGTACTACTCAAAGAAAGGTCTTGTTACCATAAAATGACAGATATGACCGAAATTGTAGACCCGAACAAAACAGGCGGATTGAATACAAACGACGGCACAAAGAAATTTAATACAGCGTATGGAAAGAATAAATGGCATAGATCTAAACGATTCCAAAAACTCAAACGAAAACTTCATTTATCAAACTACAGGGAATTGTACGAATCTAGTGAGACGGTCGACGATATCGCGCAATCTGACGGCGCTGGTTATTGTGACGTCAGAAAAAAGAAACGACTCAAACAGGTGGGTGTTCTGATATAACTCTGTTATAACGCATCGATGTATGACTATGCGGGCATACCGCGAAGAGGTCGGGGATGTATAATAATTAATGTCTGATATCCCGAATTTTCAAATAAGCAACATTCACTGGTTGCATCAAATACGAAGGATATGGCATGTCACCACTTTCTAATTTAGACACCCCAGAGTGCTGTACACGTAAAGAAAGTTCTGGGTGCAAATTTATGATTTTTTCATTTTTTATTTTTTAATACTCGGTTTAATGATTAGTTTAAAAACTTCATTGTTTTCAGAGCATGTATGTTTTGTACTTGCCTTTGTTGACAATTGCTTTGTTGTCATTAATAATTACCGAAAGCAATATCACAATTTAAAATTTCTTTATTTGAAAAAATTTCTGAAACAAAATGAAGTGAATGTCTGGTTATCGATCAGTGTAGTTTATCTTGATAATTCAAAACAAACGAAAATATATAAAATTATGTTTTTTTTTTAATATTCATGTGTATTGAGTAATAATGACAATTATTATTGGTTTACGCATATACACTACGTTATGAATTATTCTTGATATATTTCTGAGTTTTCTTGTCAAAATCATTCGCTTTCAGATTAAAATAATCAATGAATTTCACAATATTGGAAACGATTTTTTTATCGTAGTGTTTCAATATGTAACAATTGTATTTATGCATTTGCTTACAGTTTGGAAATAACGTGAGGAAGGCGCTTGTTTCCGGGTTCAGAGGCATGTCACCTTTCGCCAATCAACCAAATAATACAAACCACAATAGTACATATTATGGTACGGCGTCACTTGTCTGGTTCTAGAACCTACTATCAAGACCGAGATATATGAAGGAATATGGAGTGGGATGCGTCTGGAACAATATTTTGAAAAAATAAAAAAGGACACCGAGCTGTTTTTGAAACACGACAGTCTCAGTACATTTTCCTGTGCTAACACATGAACCATAACACTATAGTATTTACCACGCCATTTATTCGGTGCTGTTTACTTTCTGTGTCAGTAGCTACTGTGAGTTTGCAATTACTTCTCAGTTTATTAACTGTTATAATGCTGCACCATTACTTTCGATTTTCATCATCCTCATACAGCCTGATATGAGGTTTTTGCCCCAATGTTTGGAGCTACGCTGTGGACGTGGACGGGTTTCATGTTCTCTGCACGTAATAAGCTCGGTTATTAAATATCCTTATAGGGGATGCCCGGTGGCCGAGGGCAGACGTGCCGGACGCGAGCCTCGGAACCCATCCACATTATTTAGCAACCTTGACTTATGTTTGAGTTTATATATCTCATCAAACTCTAGATCATGAGAAAACTACAAATAGGCACTTATTTATAGATAATTCTGAAATGTAAATGTGTACAGAATGCACTATTCATACAATATTATAAATATGATATTATTTTCAAATAAAAAAAGTAATATAAGCATAAACTTTATTAACCTCCCGTAACCGACTTGAGCCACACACGTTTCGCTGTTTAGTTTTGTGTTAAATTCTAAATTTTACTGACAATTTCATGAAATATTTAATATATTATTTCTCTCTTAATAGTAAAAAAATGCATACACCTTATTGACCTGTTAGAATCTATATGAATCACGCGTGCCCTACTGGGGAAAATCTACCTGTGTGCCAAATTCCTTTTTGTTTTCATTTGTACAAGACTATTGCGGTACCTTGTGGTTAACACAGGAAAACCATCGTAAAATAGCAGTAGTACTCAGAAGCTGAATGCATCAATCAACGAGCCGCCCTCATCACTGGAAACCAATCAATATACTATCGATTTGTATCCTCGTTCTAAAGCAAGTCCAGATTTGTCATTTAATTTTATTATGTCAAAATAAGTTCTCTTCTGATGTAATTTTGCCCATTCTGAATGTTTTCTAATTTAACTTGTCTTTTTCTAAAACCGCCAGATTAATCCCTATTTAGGAAATCAAAATGTTTCGACAATATCTAATACTAACACCTGGTTCCCTTTACCAACAGTCTTCATTCTTTCCCATTATTCTTTGACAATTGCAAAATGAAATTAGTAGACATTTCATAGTAATGAAAGACAATTTGAAGTGAAATTTCAGAAATATCTTTAACAATATACATACATATAATACGATTCAAAACTCTAATATCTGAGTTTAAAAAAGAGATTGGATTAAAAAAAACAGACATATTTTCTCATAATGTAACATTTCCTTCACCTAGTGATTATGGACATGCTAAATTTACGATCAGTGGCAATGATCCATAAATAAGCTCAGTTTTACAAATACATACATTTACATCGACATCTCGTGTCTAATTTGTACTTTTCGTAACAATACACATTGTTACTACCAACGCAATCCAACCGTTGACTGTCTCCTGCAGTGTAAAGCAACAAAACAGAACGCGCTGAACTATAAACATTGGATGATTGAATGACGCCTTTGTTTGTGCAAGTTTATTCAAGTGCTAGTTTCATAATATGGCGTTTCTAAATAAAGACTCGTTTTTTACAATTCTCGATTTCAATTTAAATTGAGTATGAATCTCAGTCAGTTACAAATATTATTTGAAAGTACAAACATGCAGACCACCAATGTTACACGTGAATACCAATATGGACAAACAGCCAACAGTAGTTATTTGTAACTTGGGCCGAGTTAAGATGACCTTATTCAAGTGTCGGACTTTGAATGTTATCACATAAAATATTTATTGTCTGAATGTCACTCCTTTATTGTAATGAAGTTGAGGTTGAATTGAACGACGCCCTCTAAAGTCAAAGCTAATACCATGTTCCGTGCAAGTATGGAAGCACCGTGTCATAGGTACTGCGCATCCTACAGTACATGAGAACAATTTTGTATTGAACCAGATTTTTTGATATCGTATTCAACACATTTTCATCTCAAAAAATACAAATTTATACAGACAATTGAAACAACACTTTTCCATTGGTTTATACTGAAAATATAAACTACTTAATGTAAATAGTTTATTATAAAAATAAATGTACAGGGATAAAACACATCAAAGATATTATTCGTTTACCGGGACCCGTCCTCAAATGATATTACATGTGTAAACTACATCAGCATTACTATTAAAAACACAATTAAATTATTGTTACAAACGATAGTAATGTCTAAAATATAATATTCCAAATGCAGTTTAGAATACCATCACAGACAGATAGTAAAGGCACTTGAAGATTCTTTTAAAATCACGTGATGTCGACTCACTTCGTGAGCGCATGGAATTCAAATTTCAACAAACGTATACGTAACAATTACGATGTGTATACTTGACGGAGATAACATTGACTAGCACTGGTAATAAAAGCGTTCGAATGGGAACGACCACGTCACATTTCTAACGTATAATAGGACACGTATTCTCGGTATATAACAAGTCTGAAGTTATTGATTGATAAAGTCTGTGAAACCAGACGTTTTTTATGTTATTATTTGAGTTTGCCCCTAGTGGAATGTTGTCAGTAATTTCGAGATTGTTCAATTTAAGTACAGTTTAAAATCGAAATGTATACTGTGCTCAGAAGCAATTGAATGCAGATAAGTCACACTAAATATCCTATTAAACGATTCTCATTTTCCGTCACGTGTCCCATATTGGGTAAAAGTTATAAAAGTTCCTATACTCTGTGAAAGTTGCCGTCTGCTTGTTGCGTTCATAGCTACGTTTCAGAGACCAGTCCGTAAATGGCGCCCTTATGACGGCCCACCATCCTGCCTGGAGATGCCTTCCAATACGTTTTCTTGTCTGCAAGTTAGAATACGTCATTGTTACGTCGACAAGACATTCATGTGTTGCACTATTGTCAATCTAAATTTACTGAACATGGCAGCGTGGACGTTCTTTACACAATGACGTCATGATATGACATGGCAAATACCGAACAGCACCAAGCCGTCAGAACCTTTCACCACGGGGGCTACCCTTGGAATTCTTTTTCCCGAAGATCTGTGAAAAATGAAATGAACATTTCAGCATAAGATGAATGAAAACGCACAATACAATGGAGCATTTTTGTATAATTATGATGATGTAACAAAGCAGTGATATGGACTTTTATGGGGCGTGTACACGGTACTACAATGTCGCATTCGTGCCTGAATAAATACAAATATTTCAAGAAAGATATGACAAATATAAATCATTTAATCAATACAGTTTCAAGTATTGTTGTAGATATTACGTACAATATTATTACAATATTAAAGGGCGGTGGTCGTCACGCAGCACGTCTTCGAATTTCATGTAAACAATACACGCATTATAATACACGCATTGTGAATGTCGATACGAGTCGGACTGTCTCGTATCGAACAGGACGACCACCGCTCTTTAACATGACAATGAGGTTCATTTTCATGGACTGACGTTGAACAGAAAACGGCGAATTAGTTGTGCAAAGAACTTCTGAAAAGGATACAATTTAACTGTATTCATCAACATTAAATAAGCATAAGCGATGACTGGTGTGCAATCTCATCAACATGACACATAACTGTCCTTTGACTTTAGGCTCATAGCACGAACGTTTCCGCATAGCTGGTAGAGGGCGCTCTTCACATGACGAAATGGATATGGACAGAAATGGTATCAAACGCAAAATCATAAAGATCATTTTGACGGGAAATATTACAACGAACTATTTGGTATTCTGCAATTATTAACCATTGGTCAAACTTATTATTCACAATTTCACGAATGTGTAAAATGGTTGTTTATTTCAAAGTTCAAAGATCAAATGAACGATGCTTGCAGTGTAAAATAAACATGTGATCATGCAATCCATCACTGTTAGTGAGTAAAACCAATATAACCTGGCAGCTCAGTTTACAACCTCTGAATGCACAATGCTTTACCTGACAACACAAATATCGGTACACGATAAGAACACATAGTACTCTGTGTTACAGCATCCATCAATCGAGTTGGTCGGAAAATAGTAAATATACCTAGTAAACGATTTCACCTACGTCTAGTGTCACATACAGGTGTGCAAATGCAGGTCACATGCTCCGCCTGTCATGTTGGAGTCATCACGTATTATCAGATTACGGGGCCTATCAACGTCAATAATACTTGACCTCCGATAAGATAAAACGCATTTATGTAAGACCAAAATGTAGTAGCTTAGTATTGTTTGAACTAATAGGTTTCGTCATGAAATTTTCTTGCGATAACTTAGTACATGTATCTCACATACAGGGTGTGATAGTGTTGACATGCCTTGAGGTGAGAAGCTAAAACGTTGCCAGTAATAATGAATACATACACGTGCGTAATACCACAGTCCCTTTATCACATAGATACACTAGGCTTACGTGGTGATGAGAGTCGCGCAATGGTCATTATACGAAAACGCTATAGATGACATTTACAATGAAATAATACAATGCGCATCGCATTACTGGTACGTATTCCTACAAGCGCATAATATACATGTAATATTTCATCGAATGACACTCATGATGAATGATTTGTAATGTGGCAGCTATCATCCTATTCCTGAGAAATAAATATGATGTTTGGGGTGTACTTTAGGGTTATCTACTTATTATTGCTGAAACATCTAACCATGCTTTTTTTTTTCCTTACCTTTTTTATTTTAGATTTTCGCTTAGGTGTTTCTCTTCCAAATTCGCCAAGTCTCGCCTCACTGTGCATTACTTCAGACATGGGCAAAGTACATGTGCTGTCAAGCGTATCGGTGGAGATGCCAAGCTCTTCGTATTTGGTGACTATTGCCTTTTTATTTGGCGAGATCCGCCGGGATAACCGCTCCGTTGCTGATCGGTGGAATGTGGGCTCCTCATACGGGTCCATCTCGGTGGCAGAGGTCACGTGTAACCTACGGTCAATGTTGCTGTTGTAACACAAGTCTCCTAATGTTTTCCTTTCAACTACATCGGTATTATACGGGTCTGATTGGCCACCTTCGCCAGACGGGTCTTCCATGTCAACATTGTCGCGCATCGGCACTGTTTTGGATAGATGAAAATGGTCATAAAATCTAGCGTCGTGAATGCGTTTCTGGTTTGATGAGTAATCTTCACTGTCACTTTCAGTATCCTCTGTCGGGTTCTGTTTTTTGTTGTGAGGTATACGTGTCTCGTGATTCGAAACGGATGGGGTTGACGGGCTAGAAGACGAACCTATCGACATGACGGATTCGTTATCGATAGACTCAAAATTCCACCGAAATCCGGGATGATGGGAAGTTTGTAAATTATTGGTCCTGTTCGTTTGCCAGCGTTCCCATCCTTCAGTTTTCGCACCTATTTGAAAACCGGTTGCATATTTATGCTTTTCAAGTTCCTTCAAAATATCCGATATATTTTGTTCTGATCCGGGTTCTGAACCGCTGGATGGTTGGGGGTTGTCAGAAAACTGAACACTGCCGTCTGACATAAATACTTCGTCATCTTCCTCAACAACGCCTAGGTCAGAATACGATGAAATCGCAGACCTCGAATTGAAAGACACTTTTCGGTTCAATTTTGTTACAGTTTTATGGGATTTTTCAATATTTTCTTCTTTATCAAAGCTGTTGAAATACGGTGCCTTTATTTCGTCGCCGAGTTTTGAAGTTTTATTATCTCCGGTATTTCTAAGTGTGTAAACAGTGTATGGTTGGTTGTTAGCTGTACCGAAAGAGTCAACTTCTTGATGCGTAACGCGAGAAGAAATGTCTGGATACGGTGTATAGTTCTCGCCGACCTCAACAGGATCCGGGACGTTTAAGTCAGTGTACCCAATCACGACCCCTTTTTGGAAAGACACCTTACGGGCTAGTTTTGACAAGGCATTGGTGTTGTATATCGGTGTGGTTGAGGTTTCCAGATAATCCCTATTTTTGAAGCTTACACTTCTTTCAAATTTGTAGCTACTTTCAACGGATTGTGAAATGTCCTCACTTATTTCTGAATGCATTTGTAATGCGAGTTGTAACGGGGCCATGTCACCATTTTTGTTAACTTCATTGTTGGAAAAACTGTCGAAGTGTTCTTTCGAGACGCTATCAGATGTCCGTTCAATACATTCTTCGTCAGCATTCACGGTACAGATATGAATGTTTAGTTTACTTGCATTCTTGGGGTCAATATCAGTTGTTGACACACGGTCGTTGTTACTACTAACCGTGCTGCCACTGACTGTCGTCTTTTCTGTCGTTGGAACATTTTCAGCTCGGAATGAACTAAAGTCAGGGAACGGGTCTTTCGGCTCCCTCTTCTTGTGCCGACTTTTTCTGAAACTTCGTCTTAGAAATCCCTCCTTCTTGACTTGTGGTGTAAAATCGGTTTCAACAAAAAATATTTGCCCTACCGCACTGCCATCTGCTTCCGGATCGCCCGTCGGGTTTCCTGCAGAGTCGTTATTGGTGCCAATTTCGGAGTAAGACTTCTTTCCTGAGAACGATCTCCAAAATCGAGAAAACCGACTTTTCTGTTTTGCTGGATGTTTACTATGGATATCATCTGCTTCAACGCACTGCTCAGTCTGTGTCACCATTGTTGTGTTCGTGATTCGATGTCGTATCTAAAAATCACTATACTAGCATTCAGGTTGTGACTGGATCAAAGCTTACTATTGGGGTGTAACCCTGACGAACTTTGCTCCCTACAGATTAAATTATTGACCAATTGGTGTGGTGATGTTTTAGTTGTACGCTGGTCAAGGTGACGCACGACACATCATACCGAAGACTAAATTTAGATCACTCACTCAACGAGCAGGCAGCAGAGCTTCTAACGTGGATGTGATGTTATTTTAAATATCTTTACCCTTCTAATGCAAATTAGCTACGTCAGTAGTTTGACCTTTCCGACTTTTGTTACTTCTGAATGGTCTGTTTGTTTCTTACAAAAGAGGTTAAACAATAGAACTACGTGTCGTGCACGGATCATGTGGTCATGGACTTACGTAATTCCATGACATAGCCATGGTTGTGCGTTCATTTACGACACAATTGTCAAAAGTAATTTCATTGTCGTATTGCAGCATAAGACAGTATATTAGGACAGTATACTATACTGTCTATGGTTGCGGGCAGCACGTGTGCGTACCAAACACAAGTGATGCACATCCCACTACTTAGTTTACACACAGTCCCTCTATCATAGATAGAGGGACTGTGGTTTACACGAGCGGTATGAATAGAATTAACAAAAGAAACATGTAGTCATCAAAATAATAGAATCAAACCACACGCAAGGCTGTAAACACGTGACTAAATACAAATAGACATAATACTAAGTAATAACAGCGACAAAATAATGTCACATCATAAGAAATGCTTTCCCATGTAGCCACACATAATTCATACTTCATATACTATTCTATTCTATTCTATTCTATTCTATTCTATTCTATTCTATTCTATTCTATTCTATTCTATTCTATTCTATTCTATTCTATTCTCCTACCCTGTTCAAAAAGCGGAAGGGACGCATCTGTTTATTCATACCATTATTGGTCACAGCTGTCATTCGTTACGCAAGAGACTTGCATATTTACACGTACTCGACGTAATAACAGTTGTTACACTGTAAGTTGATTACGGTGGTTCTTGTCTCCAGCATACAGAGCATATTCAATAAGGCAATACTGCATATATTTGGTATTCGACATGAAAACACAATATATGTCACAAACTGGCATATGTTATTGTTGACATTGTAACATCACTATTCGTCATTTTATTTAGCGCTGTACAAAAAAAGACTACAGACACAATCTCCAGCACACTCTATAAAAGACACGCTCTACCCAGGTGTAATGTAGTAGTATTTTTATTCAAATATATCATTGAAGCCAGCTAACTAATGTCGTCCATACAAACCGCTGCACTGCCAAGTATAGTCATTGAGGTGGAAAAGATACCAAATACAGTGTAACCATGGAGCTAGCTAACTAACAATTCAATCAAAGTTACAATCCATACAGCGAAATCGCGTCTTCGTTGAAAAAATGAATACATGTACAATGATATTTTTGAGGATAACCAAGATAACAACCAAGGATGTAAATATGAATATATATTTAGTGAAAAAAAAACAATGACAAACAGCGCCATCTCCCTTCACATATAATATGAAATTCTCTCTTTTATTGAAACAGTCGCTGATAAACTTGGCAATTGCTTGGACGGTTTCAGAATTTTTGTTATTGAGAAGTGCTTTCAGATTACCGGATAAGTTTACGTTTTCAAACAAAGCATCTTTTTCAAATTTGTACTGGTTACAATTGAAGAGGAAGTGTTCTTCATCTTCAATTTCATTGGAGTCACAGACAGGGCATGTTCTATTTAAGACATCTATGTTGTGATATCGCCCAACTTCAATCTGAAGTATGTGGGCACTTATCCTTAGTTTAGTCATAGATGATCTGTGGATGGGGTTTTTAATAATTTCAAGGTATTTTTCAAGTGCAAAATCAGTTTTCAGCTGTCTGTAGGTACGAAGTTTATTTTTGTGATTAGTGCCTTTATTGTCATTATGCATTGTTTCTGTGCAGTGTTTCTCAAACATATTTTTTTTAGTTTTTTTGTAGGTAGCTAATGGGATAATACTGTTTTTTTCGCAAACATCACTAATTTCTAAAAGGTTCAGTAATTTTTTTATGCCTGTGGTCCAATTACTGACGTTTTCTTTGTCCAAATTGGTGCCAAGTTTGTAGGCCTCAGAGATCAGAGTGGTTTCATCCATATGTTTTATTTTCAGCCAGTAGTTAA